CAGGCATGAACTCCCTCCTTTAGAGTAGGCCTCAAACCCAATTAGAAAGCAGTTGGCTTTCTCCGTAACAGTCATGCTGCTATTACAGCAGTGGGCACATCTTGTCTGACAAGTCAGTGTCATAGCATGTGTAAGACTGCTGACGTCTTTCCTCCCAGAGCTTCTTTCATAGCACGATACGGCACTGTAAAAGCTACTCCAAAGGGTGGAAACATCTAGCTCAATTCCAGTTTGATTTCCTTATGTCCTGCAACCAAAGAGCATGCTGATCTCAGCTCTATAGTCTTACTGCCTGGTTCTGATGGCTTTCTAAGAGCAACAGCAACAGTCTGCATTGTTTGGGGGCCTCTGGGACTTCCCCAAACAACACCTAATAGGGATGCATCCCACGTTTGACACTGGGGTTTTCACTTGACCTCCTATGCATTTTGTTTTCCAGTATCTTGACCCTTGACTGTGAAACATGCCTTCCTGCAATGCCCCTTCTTATATACCATATTCTCTACCATAAATGATTTATCATGTCTATCTCTCTTCTCTCTCTTTCACTCTGTATCTCTGTGTGATATATGCATGTGTGGTATATGCATTTATGTACAAATCGATGCACCTGTGCATTTGTGGGGAGGCCACAGAATATTGGGCACCCTCACATTCTCTGTCTCATTTCTTTGAAATAAAATGAAAAAAAAATACTATCAGAAGGAAAGGAGCATACAATTTCATTATTTTAAGAAAAGATAAAATATTTCTTAGAAATCAACTACATATACGCTGTTTATCAAGGAGTAATAAAATTTTCCCACAGTAACAGGATATTTTGTCCCCATTAAAAAAGCTTAATTAGGTATGTATGTAGCTCAGTTTCAGAGCACAAATAAAATGCCTTTTATTTTCTTAGTCCTTACTGTCAATCATGACGTCAACAGAGAGAGATCCCTAACATGCACTACTTATGTTAATTTTTTAAATTGAAGACATGAATGCTTACTATGGTATTGTTTTGTGGTCAAGTGTGATGGTTGAAGCTTCTTATGACCAGGTACACTCTGCATGCACAATGCCTAAGGCCCCAATTCAAGTTTGCAATCTCCCTGACTACCCCCATTTGTTAAAAGGACTCAGACTGACTAAAACTCCAACCCATTGCTGTGGTTTATGACAGTAGAAGGATCAGACAGCAGGAGAGGATATGGTTGTCGCGTCTGCTGCGCGGCCTGTGTCCGAGAACGTGCGGAGGGTGTCGGGGATTGACAACACAGAGACTCGTTCAACGATGTAAAGAAAACTTTAAGCAGGCTCCAAAAAGGTTCAAGAAAACTTCCTAAGAAAGGCTCCCACCAGAGAAGCTTCTGCTCTCTCCTCTCCCCTGGCTGGTTCTGCTCTGACCCCAGAGGTGGATGTGGGTGGGTCTGAAGGTGCGGTTACTCTTTTGACAAGGTGGAGGCCAGGGCGGTTTGTGTGGGCAGGCCTTTTCCAGGACCTTATTGCCCCGGGCATTGTATTGCTCTTAGTAAACGCGTTTTTAGTAAACATTGTCTTACAGCTGCCTACTCCCAGGCCGAAGGGGAAGTGGGTCTCTGCTCAAGGTCTGGTGTCCCCACATATGGTAAGGGTTCCAGTTACTTCTCCCAGTGGAAATGTGTGAGAACTATGCTGACAACATGCATGGAGTATCATCCATCAGAGAAATGGTTGGTGTTTTGGTGTCCAGATTTAGCTGCATGGTTGTTCATCTGTGTAGCTGACTTTAGTCTCTAGTGCATCCCCAGGCCAAGCTAATACTGTGTGGTCCAAGAACCTCCATATTACTGTGGACTATCTGGTGTGCTTCCTCCCTTTTTTGAGACAGGGTCTCTCCACTTAACCCTAATTCACTTAAACTCACTATGTAGACCAGGTTACCCTAAAATTCATAGAGATTCCCCTGCCTCTGCCTCTGAGTATGAGGACTAAAGGTGTACACCACCACAGTAGGCACAAAGACACTGTCATCTAGAAGAACTTTCCAAGGCTTTAGGAGTTATTTCACAGAAGTGCAGTATGGTGATGCATACCTGTAATCCTAGTCCTCATGAGGTAGAAACATGAAGATCAGGAGTTCAAGGCCATACTTGGCTATGTAGTCACTTTTGAAGCTAGCCTGGGCTGTGCTAGACTCTGTCTCCAGAAAATAAAAGAGGAGGAGGAACAGAAGGAGGAAGAGTGAGTTATCTCATATAAGCCAAGAAAAATGATCAGACTTCTTTTCTAGAAAGGCCAATCTTCTACTGCACAAGCACATACTAGGGCTACACCGCCTTGGACTGAAACAGGGTGGCAGAAACTCTGAGAGCAGACAGACATTGGACGGGGATTCTCTTTGTTTCCAACCTGGTGATGTTTAAGGATTACTGTACAGAAAACTGCATACAGGGCAGCATGGACTAGGTAAGGGACCCCCAGATGAATCATGAGTCTCTTAAAAATACCTTTTCATCATCTTTAGTTCTTGTCATACCAAAACACATAAGTTGCTGTTGTTTTTACTATTAAGAAACAGATGCAGCCAGGTGGCTGTGGCCCACGTCTTTAATCCCAGCACTCAGGAAGCAGAGGCAGGCTGATCTCTGTGAGTTCAAGGCCAGCCTGGTCTACAGAGCAAGTTCCAGGACAGATAGGGCTGTTACACAGAGAAACCCTGTCTTGAAAAACCAAACCAATCAACCAAACAAAAAACAAAACCACACAATAGCAAAAACAAAGCAAAAAAGAAACAACAGCAAAAGCAAACCAAGTACCCTCAAATTAAGATTATTTAACAAAGAATTGAGTGTGAAAATGAAATTCACTTTACTACTGCAATTAATATTCTCCCCCATGGACAATGTTCAGTTATAACTTCCCTTTGCTTAGGGCTGTGAAATGAAGTCAAGCTCTCTAGGGTCCAGTTTTGGACCAACTCTTTGTAGTATAGAGCTGATATGTAAAGTTACTCAGTAGTAGATACAGTACCCTCTCTACCCTAGGTTACTCACTAGTAGAGTTGCCTTCTCTACTCTGTGGGCTCTGCATCTGATGGATTCAGCTGAGTGAGTCAAAAATACTTTTAAAATTGCAACTGTCTTGAACATGTACAGACTATTTTCTTGTTACCTTCTAAAAAGCACAACAGGACAACTATTTGCAAAGTTCATGCATTTTGTCAGACGTTATTAGTACTTTAAAGACTTCAACTCACAGAATGGTGTGCATAAGGTGGGTACAAACAATGCCATTTTCTAAAAGGCACAATGTCTGTAGATTTTGTCATCTGTGGGAGTTCAAGGACCATCCCGGGTGGATATTAAAGGATGCTCTATATTAGGCTTTCCATCCACAGAGTAATTGAAAGAAACTTACCATAAAAAAATTATTACCAGTAAAATGCAGTGTTTTTTTTTTCTCATGCAAAAATCTGTCTTTGACTTTGATGGACACAGAGCAGCCCTGGGCTGTTTATTCTACACAAAATATTACAAATCATTCTGTTATATCTTGTCAATCTAAAAGCATACTCTCCATAAATCCTAATTGGTTGGCAATGGATTTCTGTGGTAGGAGGTTTTTCGTTTTCCTTACGTTCTGACTTAAAGCATGCCTTTGTGGGACCCAAACACAGTTCTCTAATGGCTTCATGCAGCTTGTCTTCCTCATACCCTACTATCAACAAATACCTGTACTTGTATGATGCTTTACTAGTTTATCTTGAAAATCTACTTTTAGAAACCCCTTTTATATAATAGGTCCAACAATTCCCAATTTGGGGGAGACATTTGGACAGGATGATTACCAAATATTTTGGTGGGACTAATAGAACTGTTAACTGGACAAGAAAGACACTATGTGTGTGGGGTGGGGGACTTAGAATCTATTATGAGAATTGTTTCATAAAAAAATATACTAGTTAATAAACATGATTTCCTATAACGCTCCCTTATTTTTCTGCTGTACCCTACTTTTTAAAAATTTAATTTCCGTCTTTTAAATGTCATCCTAGGGTGGCTGCTTCAGTGGAGACTTGTATATGTTTTTTGGTCACAGAGTTGGGGTAGCACAGTAAATAACTATAGACCCTAGAATATTCTACTTGGGCCTGAATCCCAACTGGCCACATACTAGCTATGTGACCTTGGCCAAAGTACTCCTCTACACTTCAGTTTCATCTTTCCTAAGACTATGGTATGGATAGTATCTGTTTCACAGGGCTACTGAAGGTTTAGTAAGATAAAACATGCACATGCTTTGTTCAATTGTTTTATACATGTGCTTGGTGAGACTCCAGATATTCATACCTTACCCTCATTCATACATGCAATTTTATGTTGACCTGTGTTATCTTTATTATTTTTGACATTGTCCATTGTCTTTGAATTTGTTGTTGATGAAAAGTCTCCTGACACAGTGATTTTTTTTCTTTATAGATGAGGATTCTGGGAGGGTTGCTCTTTGTATTTGATGTTTGTGCTTTCAGTATTATTTGTATATCTTGTTCTAGTTCTTATTTGATATTTAAAATGCTTTTATTGTATTTTCCACAGCATCTATGTGTGTTAGGAATGATGAGTTCCTCCCCATAGTGGTTTGAATACCTCCCATAGACTCATATGTGTTTGTATGCTTAGTCCCCAGTTGAAGGATTAGAAGGCATGGCCTTACTGGAGTAGCTGTGTCATTGTTGGAGGAGGTATGTGACTGGTGTGGGCTTTGAGGTTTCAAAAGCCCATGCCAAACCAGGCCTAGTCTCTGCCTCTCTGCCTGCTGCCTGAGGATCCGGATGTGAAGCTCTCAGCTACTGCTCCAGTGCCATGCCTGTCTGCTTCCCACAATCATAAAAAACTAGCCTTCTGAAACTGTTAACAAGCCTCCAACTAAATGCTTTCTTGCTTTTTTTTATAAGTGTTTCTTGGTCATAGAGACTCTTCACAGCACCGGGAAAATTCCAGGGATACTGCTTTTGTCTGAACAATCAGAAGTCATCCTCACTTGTCCTGACTTTATTAGTGGGTTTAAAGGCCCATGCTTGTGAGAAGACTGGCTTTACAGTTGAGTGCAGCACACCTGAAGTCCTCACCCACACGCCAGGCTCTGGGCCTGCCGGCCTGGGCTGCCTTCTGTTTCTAAGTCTCCAGCAGTTCTCGGGAATTCTGTCAGCACGTGCCTGGTGAGGGCATGTTGTCTCTTGATGAGTTTCCGTCTTCTGTTCTTTGGGGCTGTTCTGATGAATGTGACCCTAGAGTGTTCGGTAATACCTCTGGTTCCTTAGGAATTATTGGCACAGTCGGTGGCTTTATTGCTCTCTGCACAAAAGTCCCATGTCTCTGAAAAGGAAAACAAAGATGACATTATCCAGGGAAGCACAAGCTGTGGCTGAGTGTGATGAAGGAACATATTTGTCTCCCTCTCCATTGACTGTCACTTCAGTCTGAAACTAAAGACGCCACCATAGGTTTTGGTGTGCCTTGTAACCGGGAGAAAATAAATGAAACAGAGAAGTGAAAAACAGACAGTCAACAAAGTGCCTGTGTTACCGCGTGTATCAAATTTAATTTTTTGCTTTGTAGGTTGCTATGACTGCAAATGAAACTACAATTCAGAGAATTGATGATTGTGTCAAAATGTCCAAAAATACTTACAATGAACTATGAAAACCAACATCTGTATAGTTGAAAACATTCTAGCAACTATTGAATTCTATTCTGCTTATAAGAACATCTAAGATGTTTATCACTATTACTTTAAGCTAGTACTCTCAATAAATAAGCCTAAACCCCTATGGTTCAAAATTACAATACCCATCCTTGATTTTTATATGACATGTAGCTGTGGTTAATCTGCTGTAGACACAAGAATGACTTTAAAGGCTTAAAAATTCTCCCATAAGTCTATTCAGTTCTGCAGTACTAAATAAGTTCTGAACACTGTCTCACCTTTCCCCGGATAGGCTCGTTGGGAGTTTTCCTGGCATCATATTGATGTATAAAGGAGATGTATTCTACAAAATTGTCTTCATGTTCTCCTGATGAGCTCAGACAGGTAAGTGGAACTAGGAAAAAATGAGAGATATTTCAGTGGAATCAGTACAATAGTTATATTTGTGTATAGAAATATAAATATTGTGATATTTGTGCTTTATGAAACTGTCAAAAATGCCAGACATAGTGGTAGACTCCTTCAGGCCTGGTGCTTGAGAGACAAAGGGAAGCAGCTCTGTAAGTTTCAGGACAGCCTGCTATGTAGCTACGTAGTGCATTCTAGGGCTGCAAGGTAAGACCCTTTCCAAAAAAAAAAAAGTCAGCAGAATTTCAGTAAGTTACCTACCCATATTTTAATATTATGGATCCAAAATTTATTCTGCATGAAAAGATCTAAATGAAAACAAATTTATTTTATGTGTCTGAGTGTTTTCCTGCATGTATGCACATGCGTATGTGTGCCTAATACTTTCAAAGTCTAGAGGAGGTCCCCTAGGTCTGGAGTTACAGAAGACTGTGAGCCACTATGTGGTGCTGAGAATAAAACCCAGGTCACTGAAGAGCAGTCAATGCTCTTAACCACTAAGCCATTTCTTCAGCTCCTATTGTTAGATAAGCTCTTAAACAGACACCATATGTAAAAAACATAAGTTGTTTGTCAAATTGTTTTTGACCACGAGAAAGGGTATGAAACAGTTTCTGCTGAATGTATGGTTATAGCTGAGTGATTATGATGATGACCAAAGAACTGTGTGCTGATATCACTGGGACACCAAGGACCGCTGGCGTTGCTGAGCACAAATTCTTTATACTTTAACCCAATAACAGAGGTTTCACTCATTTGCAATGCCCACCTGCTGCTAACAATCAAAGAGTTGAATGAATTCTGTCAAAGAAAATACTTCAGATTCTCCTTTTAACAAATATAGACATGGATGTAAGGATTTGTATATCCTTGGCATGTCTCTGGAATAATGCATAAGAAACAGACTCTGGTGTCTGCTGTAGGGAGAGAATTGTGCGACTGAGGAAAACTGGAAAGAGGTGGATTAAATTTTGACTATATATTTTATATACTTATATAAACTACTACAATGTAACAAAACATAATTTTTATAGCTCATACCTTTACGCTGGAAATAGTGGTGTATGTGTCAATCTCAGTACTCGGACAGGAGGAATACCACAAGTTTGAGGCCAGACCTTGCTATATAATGAATTAAAGGACAGCCTTGGATACACAGTGAGACTCTGCCTCAGACAAAAAAGAACAAAATGCAATAACACATGGTTTTTCCCAGTGTGACAGATTGTTGACTAACATGGTGGGACACACCTTAAATGTGTGCACTCAAGAGGCAGAGGCAGGTGTAACTCAGTGAGTATGAGGCTAGTCTGGTGTACATGGCAAGTTCTAGGTCAGCAAGGGTGATATAATGAGACCCTGTCTAAAATAAGCAATTTCTAATTTGGGGGAATAAATAAAAACAGATAATACATTAATAAATGATACTTATTAAGCATTTATGAATTCAATTTTATATTCAGATATTGACATAAAATACTTTTTCTAGCACGAATGATGAGTATATAATTACTTATAAAAATAGATATATTTCTTCACTTGGCAGGACAGACTATAAAGTGTCAATATTTTCTGAGAAACTGCCATATTGATTTCCAAAGTGGCTATACAAGGTTGCACTCCCACCAGCAGTGGAGGCGTGTTCCCCTTGCTCCACAACCACTCCAGCACGAGCTGTCACGTGTTTTTTATCTTAGTCATTTCCTTGATGGCTAAGGATGTTGAACATTTCTTTAGGTGATTTTTTTTGCCACTTGTGATTCCTCTGTCGAGAATTCTGTTTAGGTCTGTACCCCATTTTTCAATTGGATTATTTGGTTTGTTGATGTCTAATTTCTTGAGTTCTTTATATATTTTGAAAACCAGCCCTCTGTCAGATGTGAAACTGATGAAGATCTTTTCTCATTCTGTAGGGCTGTGTGGAATATTCAGTCACACTGTGAACCTGAGTTTGTATTTGAATTAATCAAATAAAATCAACCTTGGTTCAGGGGGCAGAGCCAGCAACTAGTAGTCTGGAATTAGCCATAGAGAATCTGAAGGAGCCAGGAATATGGATAGAGAGATACACAGATAGTAGTGGGGCAGGACTTGGAGTTTCATGCTTCTTTTTCGTTTGAGACAGTGGAGAGGCATCTCTTGCTGGGTCTCCAGCCAAAAACGAAGGTCATCTGGTTGTTTCTCGGAATATCTCATTTAGCAGGCTTTCACTCCCACATCTGACTTCCAAGTCTTTGTTGGTAAATAGAATGATAGAGACTTAATTTAAAACTATGTATCTTGGCCATGGAAGAGCTGGGCCTTGGATTGGAAGTCCCTCCAGGACTTGGCCTGAGAAGTGGGTGGGGCACTGATTTTCAGTCTGTGGGGCCACAGATGATAATGAAAGTATTAGTAGATTCATGTGAAGCCTCTAAGCTGACAGAAAAAAATCAGTATGCTTTGGTTTGGCCTTTTGACAATGTCCTTTACCTTACAGAAGGTTTTCAGTTTTGTAAGGGCCCATTTATTAATTGTTTATCTTACTGCTAGCATGATTAATGTTCTGTTCAGGAAGTTGTCTCCTGTGCCAATTCATTCAAGGCTATTCTCCTCTTTCTCTTATGTCAGATACAGTTTATATGGTGTGTGTGTGTGTGTGTGTGTGTGTGTGTGTGTGTGTGTGTGTGTGTCTTTGATCTACTTGGACTTGAATTTTGTGCAGGCTGATAGATATGGATCTATTTGTATTCTTGTACATGCTGACATCCAGTTAGACCAGCACCATTTGCTGAAGATGCTTTCTTTTTTTTCATTGCATATTTATGCCTTATTTAAAATATATATAATCAGGTGTCTATATGTATCTTATGTCAGGGTCTTCAGTTTGATTCCATTGATCAACCCATCTTTTTCTATGCTAATGCCATGCTATTTTTTGTTACTACACCTTTGTAGTACAGCTTGAAATCAAGGATGGTGATACCTACAGAGATTTTCATTGTACAAGATTGTTCTAGTTATACTGGTTTTGTTGTTGTTTTGTTTTCCATACGAAGTTGAATATTGTCCTTTCAAGATCTGTAAAGAATTATCTTGCAATTTTGATGAGAATTGTGTTGAGTCTGTAGATTGCTTTTGATAAGATTGCCATTTTTTTCTAAGTTAAACCTACCAATTCATGAGCATGGGCAGTCTTTCTATTTTCAGATATCTTCTTCAAAGACTTAAAGTTCTTCTCATATACACCAAGAAATTTTATACTATTTTTGGCTACTGTGGAGGGTGTTGTTTCCCTAATTTTTTTTGGCTCATTTGTTGTTTGTATATGGAGGGATACTGAATTTTTTTTTTAGTTAATCTTGCATCCAACCACTTTGCTGAAGGTGTTTATCAGCTGTAGGAATTCCCTGGTAGAGTTTTTGGGTTCACTTATATATATTATCATATCTGCAAATGTCAATACTTAGACTTCTTCTTTTTAAATTTGTATCCTCTTGATCTCCTTTAGTTGTCTTATGGTTCTGGCTAGATCTTCAGGTACTGTATTGAATATTGAATAGATATGGAGAGAATGGACCGTCTTGTCTTGTTCCTGATTTTAGTGGAATTTCTTTGACTGTCTTTTCATTTAATTGGATGTTGGCTAATGGCTTGTTGTATATTGCCTTTATTATGTATAGGTATGTTCCTGATCCTATGTTTAGATTGTATCCCTGATCTCTCAAAGACATTTTATCATGAAGGGGTGTTGGATTTTGTCAAAGGCTATTTTAGCATCTAATGAGATTTAAACAGAGAATTCTCAACAGAAGAATTTCTAATGACTGCACCTAAAGGAGTGTTTAACAAGTATGACAGAAATAGCTCAGTTGGGAGAACTTTAGACTGAAGAAATGTTTAACATCTTTAGCTATCAGGGAAATGTAAATGAGATACTACCTTATACCTGTCAAAATGGCTAAGATCAAAAATTCTGATGACAGCTTATGCTGGAGACGATGTGGATTAAGGGGAACACTCCTCCATTGCTGGTGGGTGTGCAAACTTGTACAATCACTTTGGGAATAAGTATGGCAGTTTCTCAGAAAATTAGGAATCAATCTACCTCAAGACCCAGTGATATCACTCTTGGACACTCAAACATACCACAAGGTTACTTGCTCAACTATGTTGATAGCAGCATTATTTGTAAAAGCCAGAATCTGGAGCTAACCTAGATGTCCCTCAACTAAAGAATGGATAAAGAAAATGTGGTATATCTACACAATGGAGTTTTACTCAGTGGGAAAAAAAGCAATGGCATGATGAAATTTGCAGGCAAATGGATGGAACTAGAAAAAAACCATCCTGATGATGTAACTCATACCCAGAAAGACAAACACAGTGGGTACTCACTCATAATTGGTTATTAGATGTAAAGCAATGGATAGCTAGGCTACAATCCTCCACACCCCAGAAGCTAGGTAATAAAGGAGGATCCTAAGATGTCCCTGGAAAAAAATAAATGAGATGCCCTGGGTAAACTGGGGGTAGGGGAGTAGAGGGGATAAGATGGGGGATGGGAGCATGAGGGATCAGGTTGGTCAAGTTTGGGGCAGGACAGAGGAGGGAGAGTAATGAAAGAGATATTTTGATAGAGGGGGCCAATACGGGTTTAGGGAGAAGCCTGGTGCCAGGGAAATTCCCGGGAATCCGCAAAGATGATCCCAGCTAAGACTTCTAGAAATAGTGGAGAGGCCTGAACTGGTCTTCCCCTGTAATCAGATTAGTGGCTACCCTAATTGTTATTATAGAGCCTTCATCCAGTATCTGATGGAAGCAGATGCAGAGAACCAAAGCCATGCACTGGGCTGAGCTACAGGAATCCAGTTGAAGAGAAGGAGGAGGGATTATATGAGCAAGGTGGGTCAGGGAGGCAATGACCATGACCAGAAAACCCACAGAGACAGCTGACCTAAGCTTGAGGGAGCTCATAGATTCTGTATGGACAGCCAGCATGGGACT